TGCATTAAATTAGTTCTTCTCAATAGAAGTATATTGCGGCGAAGGTCGGAATATTACAAAATTTCCTTCTCCCTAAATCAACATTTCAAGAAATACGGTAATTATTTCTCTTTTCAATATTTAGATGCATTTGTTTGCATTTTCAACGATTAAAAATTCCATTAACTTTCTTCATGTCGGCAATCGATGGCTAACTTAGTAGGGAGGAGTTCATTAAAAACGAAATTTCAACTACGTTAGATTAATAAAAGTAAATAATTATTTCAATTATACGATTCATCGGCTTATGTCAAATAATATTGACTGAAGCAAGTAAGAGCATAGCTAAGTAGGCTGCTATTTCAATTCACTGATTCCTTTGCCAAAACAAAATAAATAAATAAAAGATTATATTCGCCTTCAGATGATATGGGTGGCTACTCATTGCCTCGAATTTTTTCATATCAAGCATTATACAAGTCTTTGAATCGCGTTTAGTCGTCATGGCGTTTTCTCTTCTATTTGTGGAATTATAGGCAATAACAAGCTTCCATTCAAAATCTAGTACAATAGATCAAAGTACATTCCTAGGAATATTTACATTTTTTGTTGGTCTTTAACAATTAAATCTTAAAAGTATTTTTTATCCTTCAATATCCGAATAGAAAAATCGATAGTGCATAAATAACATTGGGTGATGTCAGTCAGTCATACCTACTAGCGGTGCTGTATAGTTTTGTGAAGCATACGAATATAGATCGGATGCCACGTTCTGGATTCTCCGCCCTTTAATTGCAAGTACAGCTCTGTACAGAAACACTAACAGACTTTTTCTTTTCTCTTCCTGGGCTTATATTCGAAGGTCATTTCAGAAATCCAGCTGTTCAGTCGGAATGATCATAATCTCGTTAAATTAAGCGATATCTACACAAAACTAACAATTGTTGTTGTTTGTAACTCTACGTTCGATCTTAACTTTTTTCGCAACAAAAGAAAACTGACCAAGGTTTCACTCATAAGTACAATAATCTGAAAAGTGTCATCAAGACGCAAAGAGTATGCTTTCACACATTTGCAGAATTCCTTTATGTATCGAATTAAGAGACCTGCACTTCTCTTAACTAGCTATCAAACATTAAACACCTATTAATGATGGGTATGAAAAATTTTGTTCTAAACTGAATATAATTTCTCTCTGACTATATATAATTTCTCTCTGACATCATTTGCGACACAAGGGTATATTAAGTTCGTACGGGTATACGCAGCGCCCAAAAGGACTTGAGATAGATCTATCTTTTATTTTCGATTCGACCATCGATTCCAAGTTTTCCTGCTCGTCTGCCCATCTTGTTCCCTTGTGTTCAGCCTACAAGTCCAATTTTGGTCGAAGGACGAATATTATCACGCCACTTTTTCGATCTCTTCCCCTTATAAAACCTTATTTTGGAAAGTCACTATAATTGTGTTAACCGAAATGGTGTAGAATATTTAATGGACACTTTAGTGTCTCTACTTCTTCTAATTTAAATTTATTCTTACATTTCATTTCCTTTTTCAAATTTTCGCTTTTAGATTGCGTTGGTCTTTCTATATATAATAGTTTTATATAAAAATGTTTTCAAAAAATTAGTTGAAAGTAAATAAGATCCGCCCTAAAACAAGCATATCTTTTTTGTAATCATGTCACCTATGTACATATATGTTGATGTACGAATAACAAACCAGACCTCAAACACCAATTGACCACTTTAAGCTTTTACGTGCTGCCACGTGTTCTCCCATATATGACTTGTCATGCCATCAAAGTTAGTTATGTAAACACGATTTTCCACTTGATTGCTATTAATTGCTACTCTCAAATTCCCATAAAGATAATGATGATTATGATGATGATGATGATGATGATGATGATAATAGCGATGAGGTTGATAATTGCTTTTGGCTTAGCATAATTTGTTTACCGTTTAATTGAAATTTTTGCTAGTTTTTGATATATTTGAATATTACATTGTATTTACACATATTGGAGGAGACTTAATTGCAAAAGTGCGCATATTTTTAATCTGTAATTACTAAAACAATTATAGGATTGGAAAGTAGAAAAGATTATACAATGTCTTTTCTTTCATTAATGTTTATTTGAATCAAAAGCTGGTAGCTTAGTGAAAGTTGCATGTGAACATTATAGAAACCTTTAAGACAACAACTCGTCCGATTTTAGCGCCACAATTCGAGTCCTTGTCCGCAATTTTAATATACAAACACTTAGGCTTTCTTATTTTTTTTAAAGAAAATATGAAATGATTCAATAACTTCCATTATATAAACTATAAAAGTCTACATGATAGCGATTTTATTTTGCATTTTTTTACACCAAAAGCTACAGCTATTCTTCAGACCAAAAATCTGGTTCGCAAAGCTAAACTTAACGCTTTAAACATCACAGATAAATTGTCGGTCATAAAATCTATTGCACCATGAACAAGGTGAGGAATACCATTGCCGCACACGCAGATAAAATTAAAATCTTTTGAATACCAAGTCATATTGGTTTCTTGGGAAATGTCCGAGCAGGCCTAGCGACCAAATCCGCAGGTTCCGCACCGTTAGCTATGAATGACACAATTGAAAAATTTGACTTTGCAAAGTACATTAAAGAAAAAATTAAAGAGAAAAAGGCGACAGTACTAACATGCCCACTACTCGCATGTTAATCCTAACCTCGTTTTACCTTTATATCCAAACAACGTCGAGAAAATCAAGATCAAAACATATGCAAAAAAGGGATCGTTCAGAAAGCTACTCCGCCGATCTGCCATCGCGGACAAAATCATACGATCAAACATACGCTTTCTAAATGTCCATACCTCTTTAATATTCGAAGATTAGTTTTTAAACACCTTGAAAACACCTGAAAAACTTATCAATATCAGTTCGACTTTATTCCAACTGCTAAACTGGCCATCTAATCTTTCTCAGAAAAAAAAAAAGAAAAGCCGGTCGTCCTAGTTGCTAGCCTACTACCTACTTTTAGTCCTAGAGCTTATCTCTAATAACAATATTAATAATAATTTTTCAGTTTATTTACAAAAAGGCATTAGTTAAAGTTCATTTTCTAGCAACGGAATCGCATTCCTCTTTTGCGAATAAACCTTATTCTGCAAACTTTGCAACTTCGGCTTTTACTCCTCCTTTTTTATTCGCCAAAACGTGTTATCTGATAGAGATGCCAACGCCACATAACACCCATTTCGGGTTTTTACTACAACTGCAATGCTAGTGACAACCAGCTCTTGTGACAACACTCGTTAACACTCGCTTACATAAGAAGTACCAAAACCCAATTTTACGAACCTTTGCCCTTGTAATACGAAATTCGGCAACAATTACCTCAGTAAAGGAAATGCAAAAATCCTCTTATTTGTAAAAAATGTTTTGAATTGATTTGTATAATACATACAAAAGTATGCCTTTTTCACTCAGGACAGTGAAATATCTGTTGTTGATTTGCTGAGTTGCAGAAGATGTGTCGTCAATGAAAACATGTTGCTAAAATAAAAAATCTATGCCACGAAATTTTTTATTCACTATTGTCTAGAAAATCGAAACTAATAACATAACAGATACGTTACAAAGCAAAAAAAGTAAAAGCACTGTAGTGGGTCACGGGTCGATATTAACTACCCTACGCCACTCTACACTTATTCCAATAACGGCTTCTCACAATAATAAGGTTTAAAGCGATTAAAAAAGTAGTCCAATCCGAACCATTTTCAATAGCATTTGTCCTTGGGCCAAAACACATTAATTTACCAGATTATATCCCAAAATTACGGTCTCTTGACCTGAAGGCAAGAAAACAACATAGACGGAGGGACGGACACTTTTAAATTGATTCAGAAAGTCGGGTCTATATTAACGCCTTCTTAATTTTGTACACAATAGAACAAACTTAATATACCTCTGTACCACAAGCTGTGTAGGGTCTAAAAAAGGGACCCAACTTTATTTGAGCAGACGTAGCGGAGTTTCTGACTTTTTAGCAACGGAATAATAAGCAATAAATTTTTTTTTTGTGCTTGACGTGCAACATAACATTCAATGAAAGTATCGTAATTCTTGGTTAATGAAAATAGAATATTATCGGTGATAGTTGCCATAAGAAGTTCTGACATTGCGACTGAAATTGCTTCGAGTTCGGTGGGAGGGTCCTCAGAGGAGATATATTGGTGTACCCCAGGCATTTTCTTATGTCAAAATTCTAAAAAAAGTGTAATTGCTTGCGGAGGTATATTGACGAGTGATCTGCAGAAAGCTTCGCGCAAATAACTAAATCCTTTTTTCATCAATTATGTACTTTTTCGCGTGTTGGTGAGAGCCAAGCGCAAAGACTCAGGTAAAGATAAATATGTATATACAAATGTACGTACACCTTATTGTACGACTGGCGCCTGCACATATATATATACATATATATATATATGGTGTTTGTGAAACGCTGTTTCGCTACCACACGACACCGAGTTTAGAATATTACAACGCGGTTTTAATATAACATAAACCAAGATTTTGACACAATACGATGCCCATTGCCTTGATTTAATATATCTTAGTGGAAACCAACTGTATTGTACTTATGGCTTTTCATTTTTTAATGACATCAAATTGCAATCATAGAACATTTTTGTTTAACCTAAATTTTTGAAAGAATTCGAAAAATTAATTTTGAAAATATATATTATTCAGTTTGGTGACGCACGTTCAAATATATTTTTAGTTTCCATAAGTTTTGTAATCGGTCTGAGCGCGATTTTGTTCAAAATATCTTAGCGTTGTTGGTGTCGTTATTATCCGGCGTTAAAGGGAGGGAAAATATTAATCTTATTATTCGTGGTATCTGAATTTTCGCTAGCATTTGCTGTCGAACGTTATCAAAAATAAATTTCCAAATTTATAAGGACCTGCCATTCCAACGTGTTACGAAGAAAAAATTAAAGTCGTTTTAATACACTAGTGCAATGGTTAAAACAACATCGTCGCTTGTGCCTGTCAGCGAAGTTGGAATTCGCAAACCGAACGCAGCCCTATTAGAAGCTAAACGCAAGGCGAAATTGTTAAAAATGCAACAACAAACACAACCAGAAAATGTTATTGAAGATATTTTTCAAAATGCTCTTAACGCTAAACATTTCATTCAAAGGCCTACTGGTTTGATGTACTATGAATCGATGCCCGAGCACAGTTGCTTATGGAACGAAAAACATACGGAATATTCGAAATATTTTATTAAAGTTATGGATCGTTGCCATGAATTGAATTTAATCGGACGGTGTAAATTGTTATCCTCCCGGCGTGCCACTAAAGAGGAAGTGATGCTCTTACATAGCGAAGAGCATTACGAATTTGTACGTCGTACATCGCTTGATAGCGATGAGGCAAACAATGGCAGTTCGAAATTTGATTCCATCTGCATATGTCCGTTCGCGTTCGATTTGTCTCTACTGGCCGTTGGCTCAACAATAGATTTAATTGAAAACGTTCTGAATGGCAGCATACAAAATGGTATGGTTTTTGTACGTCCACCCGGGAATCATGCTACAGGAACTGAATTCAACAATCATAGAGTTTTTAATAATGTGGCGCTGGCTACGCAGTACGCTTTGGATGTGTCAAAGTTGAATAAAATCATGATTATCAACTGTGGCATACATCACAACGCAAGCACACAAAGGTTTTTTTATCACGATCCCAGGGTGCTTTACTTTTCCATACATCGGTGTAGATGTGCATGTTCTCAGTCCAATGTAAACGAATCAGATTTCGATGTTATTGGCTATGGGCCCGGGTTAGGTTATACTTTCAGTTTGCTTTTAAATAACACTAGGACAAGTAACGGCGATTATTTGGCCATATTTCAACAAATACTTATCCCGGTAGCTATGGAATTTCAACCTGAATTGATTATTATATCAGCCGAGTATAATATCGCTTTGGGATGTCTTGACGAAGATATGGAAATCACACCAGCCGTCTATCCTCATCTTATAAGTTCTTTACTAAAATTGGCCAATTCACGTTTGGCCGTGGTTCTAGAGGGTGGTGAATGTACAGCCTCACGGATAGAAGGCGTTGCTTTAACACTAAGCGCTCTGTTGGGAGAGCCGTGTCCTATATTGTTAGAGAAGTTGGATCCGCCTTCCTTAACTTTACAAGAATCTATATTGAATTGCATTTGTAGTCATCGTCCTTACTGGCGATGCTTGCAGCTACAGGATACTTATACAATAGATGCACTGAATACTACTAATCTTCAAATGAATTTACACAAAATTAAACGTATTTGTATTAAAAAACCACTGCTTGAACAATTTTCGACACAAGGCATAGTACCGCGAGAGATAATTGAAAAGAATTGTCTGCGTTTACAAAGAGTTAAGTCTGAAACCAAATTGTTATCGCATCGTATACGTGTTTGTTATGTTTATGACGAGTTGATGCTGCAGCATGAAAATACTCACGAGCCAGGTCATCCTGAGCAACCGAAACGAATACATAAGATTTACGAGATGCATGGTGAATATAGACTGCTTGAGCGCATGCAGCGATTATCGTCGCGGTCTGCTACCGTTGATGAAATTTGTTTGGCTCACACGAGAGCCCACGTAAACTTGATACGACGCATTAGTGGCGAAGATAAATTACAAAATGTCGATACTAAATACAATTCTGTTTATTTCCATCCAAAAACATTCGTCTGTGCTTCCCTAGCTGCTGGCTCTGTGTTACAAGTTGTTGATAAAGTTCTTAAAGGAGAGGCACGCAGCGGCGTTTGCATTATACGACCCCCAGGACATCATGCTGAGTCGAATGAACCTCATGGTTTCTGCATCTTCAATAATGTGGCCATAGCTGCTCTTTACGCCATAAGAGAACATGGCTTAAGTCGTGTTCTAATTGTTGATTGGGATGTTCACCATGGGAATGGCACACAACACATATTTGAGTCAAATCCCAATGTTTTGTTTATCAGTGTACATCGTTATGACAATGGCTCATTTTTCCCCAAAAGTAAAGATGGCGATTTTGACGCCGTTGGAAAGGGAGCGGGTACAGGTTTCAACGTTAACATACCTTGGAATAAGAAAGGCATGGGTGACGTTGAATATGTTTTGGCTTTCCAGCATATAATTTTGCCAATTGCTTATGAGTTTAATCCGCAACTCGTGTTAGTGTCAGCTGGCTTTGACGCTGCTGTAGGCGATCACTTGGGCGGCTGCAAAGTTACTCCAGAGGCCTACGGTTTGCTAACTCATTGGCTGTCAGCGCTAGCAAACGGTCGTCTTGTAATTTGCCTTGAAGGTGGCTATAATGTTAACTCTATCTCTTATGCAATGACTATGTGCACAAAGTCACTGCTAGGCGATCCTTTACCGCCAATACAATTCAATTGCTCGGTCCCATGTCTACCCACTGCAGCGCATCTTAGCTCTTTGGAAACTTTTCGAAAGTGCATAAGTATACAGCAGTGTTATTGGAAAAGTTTGGCTTTCGGTAAACGTTTACCGCAAATCGAAGACAATGGCGAATTCTCTTCATCGACCATACAAAATTTAAACGACATGCACGGGGCAGTAGGTGGTTCAGGAGATGCAGGAAATGATGTATTTTGATTTTATCATCATAATGCTTAAAACAGCGCAGCGCCATGGATGTGTTCTGGTTCCGCCTTCATTTGCAGTATATTTTGTGATGGTGGTTAATAGATCTTGCATTAACTTATTACAAATTTTTAAATATTTGCAAGATTAAGATTGAAAATATCGTCGTGTCTTCATCCGCTATCAGTTGCTTAACGCATCACTTAGCGTGACAACAATCACAACATTTTATAAGACTAACTCTCTACATCAACTTCCGGTCTCACTTTTAACAAATTCCCTGTTTTTGTTTCTCTTTTACTAATAAATGAAATAACTTGTGTATTTACATTAAATTTTTTGTTTTTTTTTTATATAGCGTTTTACTTAGTGGTTGATTGGAAAAAAATATTAATACCCAAACTAAATTCGAATGTACGTGAAACAAATTCTTCAAGAAAAACCCTTAACGGTTATTATGTGAAGGCAATGCTTTCAAATGTCCTACTTGATGGCAATCTCCATATAGACGATGTATTCCATGCAGCTAAAGGAATTTTTGCGTTCATTAGGCCGTTGGGTTCAGAATTCCTCATTCGTCATTTTGGTCAAATGAGTCTCGCTTACTTCAATCAGTGCCAGGCAATTTTTGATTCTCGCATAAAAAAATACGGCATATGAGCATTACTGAGTGAAGAGAAATGCATACGTCACTCTTAAAAGCCAAAAAGCTATGATTCAAGCCAAGCCATTAATAATGAAGCCGAATATGCCTGCTCTCCTCATTTCAAGTGCGATCGAATGTTTCGCGTCATAAGTTACATCAAGCCGATGACTATTTTATTATGAAATTCTATCATCATTATTCAGTCCGTCATGAAAAGCAGAGGAATTTACGGGATTACTTTTTTGTGAAAACGTTTGCAACGCCCACAGGGAAGCTTCAGGCACCCGTAAAAGAATGTATGCTCTTGATCAGCATGAAATCCTGAGTGGATTTAAACATGTCCGTCCATCTTTCCGTCCGTGTAATGTCGCAAAACTGAAGTTATAGACTTCAAATTGGCAAAAACATTGGAAGTTCATGGATTCAGTTTGCTACTAAAAATGGGCAAAATCGGTCGGAGGACACGTCGTCAATACCACGTAAACTGAGAACCTAGCTATTTTTCAAAGAAAATAAAAATATGGTTTTTTGCTCTTTACTCGTAAACAACAACAGATAAATATATAAAAATTTAAAGACATTTCAGTAACGGGTGTAAAAGGCTTTGTCGCGACCGAATATAATATTCTTATTTTTTTTTTTAACTTTTAATATTACGAAAAAGACCCAATATGTGTAATGTAATTTGTAATTTAATACTTTATCGGACTCTTTAAATGAAGCCAAAGAAAACCTTTCATTCAACGATTCAATTATTTTTCAGTTTGTGTGCCTACAACAAAGGTAGTATTCGCTGCTAGCGCGCACTCACAAAAATAAAAGTGCACATATTTGGCTGCTTTTTGGGATTACAGCAGACTTATCCTTGGAGATCATATTATAGCTCAAAACTCGATGCTAAGACGACTTAGCTTTGACCGTTTGGCCATCACATCTCTGCCTGTGATCTATTGTGCTGTCAATTATGTTTATAAACCTATAAAATGTCCAGTATGATTTCAGATGATAATCACAATATGACGTGAGGAGCTCATATGCAACTGATAAAGTATAATTTGTTTAAAATATGAATGGAATATGTATGTATGAATTCGTGAGACGGCTTTTGCAAAATGATCATCTATATGAAAAACCCTTCCATTGGACTATGATGAGGAAATAGACAAACCTAATAATGATAACATCAATAAAAGCACTTGTAATAATTTTGAAGTGAAACAATCACTATTTGCTAAAAGTCATTTTAATAAGAAAGAAAGGATAATGTACACCCATATAAAAAGCAAAATAGATGATAGACGAGTAAGAAAAGTTAAAACCAACCGGTTTTATAATCCAAAATTCGTAGATTTGCTACTAAAAAAATATATAGCTTACGCTTCCTTATGGACGAATATAATGGTTGTACATATAGATAGTGACAAGCCCGCTTCAAATAGTCCAGTGGAAGGTTATTTTTCCATTGTTAAAAACATAAACTTAGGTGATCAAAGAAACATAAGACCCACCGAGTACGTGAGGGAATCGTACAAGTATATAACAGCGAAAACACAAGAAACAAAGTCCCAATATGTTGAAGGAAAAGTTGTTTACGGAACACAAACGAAAAATAAGGATGTTCTAGTAGAAGAAAAGCGAAGGCATATTCCCTAAAATAACTAGGTCTATAAAATCCAAGAAAATAATTTTAGGGAAATATCATTATATCTTTGAGAAAATATACTCCCACAGTACTGCACCCTTTTTAATGTACATGGAATTAAGTGATTTGTTTTGTTTAGAAAATAAACAAGAACTATATAACAATGTATTGGAGTTATACATACACATTCTTATAAACGAACATCAAATCAATAATATATATTGTTTGAGTTGTCAAGAAGGAGATTTGCTATTTTTCGGAGATAGTATTCATATCAACGAAAAGTGAAAGCAAGTGTTGTTTCATTACAAAATAATTATCGTGCCCATTCTTCGCAATAGGCATTTCACGTTCGCCTATATAAATAACGCTTTCAACACGTTCACTTACGTTGATCCCATTGGAAACGAAGAAGCAACTCTATCACAATTATTCCAAAAGTTTACAGCCATACACAATAATAGTAACGTATGGACTGCATGATTTGCAATATATAAACAAAGATAATACGAATTGCGGTATATTCCTTTGCCAGTTTTTCGAAAGAATTGCAAAAAAAAGCCCTTAGTAAACTTAACACGTCCGTCTGATTATAGAAAACGGATGAAGCTAAAAATTTTACAATATAGTGAGGATCTGACTTACAACTGTCGTCACTGTTATAAAATTAATGAAATGGAAAACCAGTGTAGCAAATGTTATCGAATTATTTGCGTACAATGTGTCGTACATCACTACGGGGAATGGAACGACTTTTGTATTTTATGCAACAATTAATTAAAACCTGTTTTATATGCATTTACTTATGTGAACGATATGCATCAATTTTTTTTTTTTATAATAAAAAAGATTTGTTATAAAACAATACACTATTGGTTAAAAACTTTGTAAATAATATAAATAATAATCATTTTGTAGATTTATGTAAATAGTGTAGATAATTTTATGTAAATGTTACAAACGAAATTCATAAATAGTGAAAATAAAATTGAAATTCGTCAAACGGGTTTAATTTTTTAATATGAGGGAATAATATTGGAATGTTAATAAAAAATAATTTTTTTAAAAAATACAAAATTTTGTCTAATTTTCTTTTTTTAAGAAAGTTTTATCTCCTCTACATAGTTATGTTTTCACAAACTCTACAGCGTATGTACGCTCTTTCTCTCCCTCTCTCACTCATTGCTTGATGTTATATAACAAGCAAAGTATGTGTTGGCTATTTAATATACATTATTATCTATAGTTATATATCCACATGCAAAATATATGCAAATATGCAAGGAATAATTAGAAAGAAATGAAATTGCCAAAAAATTTGTTTTTCGGCAAGCATGCTTTACGTTATCAAATGCAACATAGACAGAAGAAGAAAAAAAAACGATTTAATATTTGCAAAGGCATTCGTTTACGCACAAATCCACGCATTGCGAGAGAAACATTTCTGAAGTCTCAATATTGATTATGAGAAGTGTACAGCAGCAAGTGGTAAAAAAAAAAAATCAGTTAAGTTTACGTCTCGTAATGTATATGTATGAATATATATATATATATATATATACAATATATATAAATTATTTAGGCACAAACATTTGATGGATTTTAAAGGGACTTGATAAAATAAAGTATGCCTGGCGACTATTTATTATTTATTACATGTCTGGTTTTCTAACAATATTTATATTATCGATCTAATTTTTGAAAAAAGGCAACTATGATTGCAACGCAACTATTACATCCCTTACAATTATTTTCATAATTTTCATTGACAGCGCTTAAAATATTGTGCATAGTAGTTGTACTGAAAATGAAAATTGTTATAGTAAAAAATGAAGCAAACGATGTAATATGCTAATATTTATTTTTCGCGCAACGGCATACGCAAATCTCATTTATATACCACGTGTATTTCTCAATGCCGCTTTTCTAAATGTTCGTTATTTACGCATTCTCTGTTTCGCCCTCTTACTCTCTCACCCAATTCCTTAAAAAAAATATTAGATCAACACACATGCTAGAAGAACAAAAACTATTTAATATATTTGCAAGAGCAATAAATCCTTTTGTTACCATTCGTTTACGCACAAACCCACGCACGTATGTAATGCAAAGAGCAATGAGAGAGAAACATTTTCAAGCTCGCACATTTATTGTGAGCATTGTACAGAGGCAAGTAGTAAAAGAACAAAACAAAATCAGTTTAGTATATGTATGTACACTTATATATTCATATATAGATTTTAGATACATATATGCGATCGGCTTTAAATACACTTGATAGCATAAAGTATGTCTACCGACTGTTTGTTAGCTTGTGAGGTTTTCTAATAAGATCTATACATTTGCTCTTATTTATGGAAAAAGCCAATAATGTTAGCAACGGCAGTCATAGTTACTGTACGTCTTCCCTTTTTATAAATATTTTATTCTCTTCATAATTTGGAGACAAAAATATAAAATAAAAAAAAGGCGAAGAGAAAAAAACGTATATAATAACATACTGCTGTTTATTGTTTGTGGTTACTGTTCCTAAAATATATGTATTATAATAGCAAGCAATTGTATAATAGCAGACATTTGTTCGTCTCTGTAATGTTTGTCAGCCTGACCGCCGCTCATTTCGACCGTTGCCAACAGACCACGTTATTAATGTTGGTAATATTTCTCAAAGATTGTTATAACGTCCGCAGCGTTTTGTGTTTACACCCGTTTGGTTTATGATTA